AAGGGGGGCGGGCGGTTGGAGACTCTGCGCCTGGGGGGGCGCGCGGAGCGCCGATCCTTCGCCGGGCGCCGCGGGACGGGGCCGCGCCGTGAAGCGACCGGGGGCTCGCGGGGTCCCGGCCCGCAGCGCGGCCCCGTGGGGCGCCGGTTCCGCTCCCGGGGGGGCGGGGGGGGGGGGGGGGGGGCGGGGCCGCGGGATCGGAGCGTGCGCGGTGCGTCCGGGCGGCGCTGGGACCCGCAGAACAAGGGGCGAGGGGGGAGAGGCGCGGGCAGGCCGCAGCCGGGCCGGGCCGAAGCGGGAGGGGGCCGGGCTGGGCCGGGCCGAGCGAGACCGCGGCGGGAGGCGGCCGGGAGGCGGCCGGGGGTCTCGGGCCAGGCCGGTCCGGGCCGAGGGCGGAGGAGCGGTGGGCCCGGCGGCCGGGCAGGGGCGCCATGGCGGCGGCCGAGACGAAGATCATCTACCACCTGGACGAGCAGGAGACGCCGTACCTGGTGAAGCTGCCGATCCCGGCCGAGCGCGTCACCCTCGGCGACTTCAAGGGCCTCCTCAACCGCCCCAACTACAAGTTCTACTTCAAGTCCATGGACGACGACTTCGGGTGAGCGCGGCCCCGGGCCGGGCCCTCCGCGGGGCCGGGGCTCAGCCGGCTCCGCCGCGCCCCGCAGCGTGGGGGTGGGACGGTGGGACGGGGCGACGGAGTCCCCGCCGTGCGCATCCCCGCTCGCGTCGCGTGGCGCGGTACCCCGGAGCCCCCCCCGGCCTCCGCGGTACCCGGCTGGCCGCCACGGCCCCGCGCTGAGAGCGGTGGTGGCGGCCCCTGAACGTCGCCGTTCCTTTCCCCGAAGGCCGGGAACCTTCCTTTGTGTGCACCTGGGGAGGGTGCGAGGGCACCGCTCCCTGCGCGGCCCCTGCCCGGGACGGCGTGGCTCTCCTCCCATCCATTTTGGGGAGCACCGTCCATTTTGGCAGTCCCTTCTCCCCTCCCCCGGCTCTGGGATGGGGAAGGGGACCAGCCGTCTCCCGCCTTCGTGCAGGGGGATTGAGAGCTCTCCATGTGCTGCCCAGCTCTGGGCAAAGCATACGAGGTGTCCCCTGCTCCATCTCTAATCTCTAGTGACTCCAGTGAACGCACGGAGTCCAGGGTCTGTGTGGGAGAGGGGAGCAGCCCTGCTTTGTTGTGTTGTTGTCCCCTGTTGGGGCAGCTCTCCTCCAGCACCTGTGTTTTCATGGTTTCTTCCTTGCTCTTTCCATCACGTGTGGTTGTTTGGATGCGAGGCAGTCTGTCCTACCACGGACAGTTGTGTTGACTGATCTGCTGTGGAGCTGCTGCCTCCTATCTCCCTGAGGTCATTGACTGACTTGGGGAGCCCCGTGAGATCAGATCTCAGTGAGACCCTTTGTTTGGTCCTCATTTCTTGGTGACACCTCTGGCTTTGTTGTGGAGCTCCCTTCCTTTCACAGCTTCTCTTGGCCTCCACAGCACGTGACCCGTCACCATTCCTAGCGCTTTGCCGTTTGAAAGAGTTGCGTGATCTCCTTCCCTTTGCATTTTTTCCTCCTCTGAAGATTGAGTGTTTACAGTAGGTCTTGCGGATGGAGGCTGGGACTGCAGAGAGCTTTCAGTTTTATAGCCTTCCCAGTGTCTTCGTGCTGTGCCAAAATGCCTCCCTGGGCTGCGATTTTGGCTCCTGCTGTAAGTTACACAGGGCTGGGCCTGTTTGGGGCTTGGATGGAAAGCCGTGTGGCTGCCTCAGCAGGGGGGTGCTCTCCCCTCTGCAGCCAAGCCATCCCAGTGCCCAGGTTCCCGTTAGCTCGGGTGGTGCCAGCTTTCAGATGAGGCTTGGAAGTTGGAGTCACTCCTATGACCACAGTCTGGGACGCTTCGCCTCCCTGCATTCCTCCAGGCCCAGCAGAGAGCTGCAGCCCTCGACAGCTTCCCCCTTCCCTCCGTCCAAATAGAAGTCCTCAGCCCTCATTTTCCATAAATCTCCCCTGTGCTATCAGTTGTTGGCCGATGGTTTCCTGTCCCTCAGCTGTTGGGTGCTACGGAACAGCTGTCTCTCCTCGGCTCTGAGGGGACCATGACTCAGTGGTGGGTGAATTCTCCATTCTCAGCGCACGCTGTTTGTAAACAAATGCTTGGGGATCCTTTGAAATGTTCTTGAAGTGAATTCAAACTTGTCTTGAATGAAATACTGCCATGTGGGTGGGAGAGTGTCTGCGCAGCTATAAACAAAGTTTAGTAATAAATAGCAGTGTCTTGAGTTGGGAAGAGGGGTCTGGTGGCAGCAACGTTCTGCCTTGTGCCTTTTCATCCTCCTCTGTGTCTTTAAGGCTCCGTGAGAGGAGGCAGATGGTGGATTAATGAAAGTTGAAGATAAAGCACATAGGGTACGAGGAGGGAGAAGGAAGAATGGCTCAGGAAGACCCGGTGAGGTCAGATGCGCAGGAATGTGGGAGATGAGGATGATTTCACTAGTTCCTCTGGGAAGAAGTGACTTTGAGAAGTGAAGGTGGTTCTGCAGCTGGAAGAGATCCGTTGGGATGTAGGTGAGGTCGTGCCCCATTGTGCCAAAGCACTGCATGGAATGGAGGGCAGAAACCTCTCCTGGTGACACCGGGGCTGCCCCATCAGGGTAGAGGTATTTGGGTCTTTCCTCCTTTCCAGACAGCCCAAGGAAGCCAGAGAAAGGTTGGAGCAGTCCAGCTGCAGCATTGTCTTCTCCAAGATGCTGTGGAGTCCCAGGAGGCACTGGAAATATTTTGGGATCCCTGCTAATTGGTGTCCGGGAGAAAGCAATCAGTTGGTCTGCAGGGACAGACAGGACAGAAGGGCAGGAGGAACATCAGCTGCTCCATATTGGCCTGTAAATATTGGAGCCATTAGTGAAAACCAGCAAGAGATGAATGCTGGCTGTGCTCAGCAGCTGTGTGCCAAAGAAAGGCATTGCAGGGCCATGCGTTCATCCCTCAGCCCCTTTCATGGAATCACAGCGTGGCTGCTTGGTTGGAATGGACCTTGCAGGGCTTAATTCAATGTTTCCTCTCACCTCTGGTGCTCAGATTGAATAGGTTTCTCCCTCTTCCTCCTCTTTGGAGGTTGTGCATCTCCAGCCCAGCATTCCCTGCAGCTTGCCCCTTCCCAGGGCAGCGTTTCAGCTGCAGTCTTGGTGTGTGGGATTTTTTTGTTCTTTTGTTTATCTTGTTAATATTTGTTTGCCCTGAGAATCAGGGCATTGATGGAGCAGCTTCATTGTTTACATCTCCTTGGAAATGGGAGGCTTTCCAGGTGGCTGTGCCAGGGGCTCATCCTGGTCAGCCCCGAGTTAAGAATGGTGCCATGCCCAGGTGGGAAAGAGGAGAAACAAGAATTCATCTAATTGAGGGGAGAGCAGTAGGAAAGCTGCAGTGCTTCTTTGCCTCAGCACAGAGAACACAGCCTGAGCCCAGCTGTGCAGAGCAGTGATTTCAGGTGTGGACACTTGTATAGCCATGCTGACTTCATGTTTAGCTAATCCAAGAACTGGAGACAGCAGGAAGAGCTGAGCACCGATGGTGGAAGCTCAGCAGCGCGTAGATGTGGTGTATTCTTCTTGGACCTGAGCTACTTCGTGTGCTTTGCTGTGAAATATGAGAGTATCCTTTGCCCTGCTCAGACAAGGAAGGTTTTGTCTCTCTGGTTTAAGTCTTTTCATCCTGTGCTTTCCAGGTAAGATCTGTGTGCTGGTCAGCAGGAGAGAGGGCAGTGCCGTGCTCTGCCCACTGGTGAGCTCTGTGTTCTCCACCCGCAGCCTTTCAGGGACCTCTGAAGAAGCTGTTTGATTTCTTTGTTCCTGATCCATGCTGCGGATGTTCTTGCAGTGATCGTGTGGCTGACGCTGTGAGTTCTGTGGGCAAGAGAATGTCTGTATGGATCTCAGAGTGCTGGCTGCTACAGCTGAAGATATTCTTATGCTGATTGAATGGTGATATCCCATGGATTGTTTTTTTTCTTGTAACTGATGCTACTCAGTGCTGTCAATAAAGGGGTTTCCATAGGGGCACGCTGAAGTTAAACTTTTCAAAGCAGTTTCAGTTAAAGCAGTGTGATTTATGCATCCAGGTAAGTTCTCAGTACGTGGCTTTAAGTTCTGTCTCCTTGTCCATAAACCCCAGAGCGTCTGAAAGCCTGAATTTCTCCACTGTGTGGAGAAAGCGCTTGGGAAAGCATCCTTTGTGATGGCTTTGCTTCTCTCTGCCTGGTCAGGCTGAGCTGAAGGGCCACTCCTCCTGCATGGGGATCTCAGCCCTGCGTTGCTGGGAGGACCTGGAGCTTTGGGGCACAGTGTGGGGCGGTGCTGCTCCGCTGCTGCCTTCTCCCTCTTCTCTGCAGGACTCAATTGCAATTTGAGCTTCGGAGCTGCCATGATTTGAGGTCTCAGCTGTCAAGTGGAAATTGGTATTGAACTAATCTCTAGCCCGGTGTCTAATCCAGACCTGCTTAATTATCACCTGCCCTGCGAAGCCGGGTACGAAGCAGTGATTAGGGCAGCGTTCTGGAGGCAGAACAAAGCGGGCGCTGCTGGAATTCCCAGCACAGGGGTCAGATGCCGTTGGTATTTGGCGACCTCACCACATGTGCATGGGGAAACGCATTGACGCTCACTGAAGGGCTGAGTGATTTATTTTTATTGCAGGATCTTTTTTTGAGATCGATGCCAGGAGCGACTGTCCTTCTGGCTGGAATCGTTGGGAGCTGGGGAAGGGATCCTGAGCTCAATAAGCAGTGTCAGTCCCAAAGCCTGCTGGCACGGTGCCCCCGCCTTCCTGCCAGGTCTTTGTAGTGCAAGCCTGGGGGAGTTGCTTCATTTTTGCTTTGTTTTTTTTGAATTGGAAACTTTACTGTGTGCAGAAGACCTTTGCCTGTCCCATGCTCCCATGGTGATTCCATGTCAGTGTGGGTATCACACAGGGAGGGGATGGCAAGAAGTCTGCGCTGAGACTGTAAGTGAGCTCAAGCTCCTCCAGAACTGTGCGTGGCTCTTCTGTATGCTCAGTGCTTCTGTCAGCAGCAGCACTGCCCCACTGCGCTGTGGCCATTGCATCTCAGCACCCAGCCAGTCCTCAGTTCTGTGCATGGTGGGACAGCAATTCGAACCTGAGCCCTTCAAAGGTCTTAAGACTGCATCAAAACACCTGTGTTCTCCTGGATCCAGAGATGATGAGAAACATTCCCATGCTACTTCAGGGGGAGATGGGGTGACCTGTCCTCCTGAACCTGTGCTGGCTGCTCCTTCTGTCTGTTTGGAATTATGAAAGACTCAGCTCTCAGGTCTATGCCCACAGTGACTTGCCTTCTGGCGCACAGCGGGTGGAGGTGGCTTCATACCCTGCACGTTTCCTTCCTTGGATTGAAAGGTAGCCTGGAGATCAGACCAGTGAAGCTGCTGTAGAGCAGCACTAAGATACATGAGCAGCCACAGCAGTTTTCCTCTTTTCTGCTTCAGAGGAACACGGTTCCCTGCCTGCTCATGGAAAGGGCTCTGACCCCATAAGCAAGGCTCTTCTGGAGATGGTTTGGGGCCATTTGTATGAGGTTAATGCAACCCATGCCTCTGT